GAACCTATATATTTTCCATTAATTAGCGTACATTAAATTATTTAGCTTTTTGAAAATCCTACAAAGGACAAATGAACTTTGAGAGCTTAGTATTTGTAGGTAGTAGTATACATATACGCTTTGCATTTTACTGAAAAATGGTTATACTGAACTACAAACCTTTTTGTGCTAGTTAGTAAATCTCTTTGATAATAACGGTATGAAGCAGCGAATACTTTTGGCCATTTAATCAATATTTGATGAATAAACAATTTTCATTACCTTTGATTTTATCGAAAGCAATGAAATATAAATAGTAAATTGGTTTGTGATTTATTTACATAAATTTCATCATCAAAAAATAATTCCTAAAAATGTGTTTAGCCGCAAAACCAACAAACCAAAAGCTTTTATTAAAACAAAATTCATATTCATCCATTTTGAAATTATTTGCGTTGTGATGCACTCTGGAGTTCATTCAAACCATTTTAACTAGATTCCAACATTTTTATATTGTATGGATTGTTAAAAACCTCTAACAGCATCATTTGACCGAATAATTAATCTTTTCAGGCTGGTGGTCTCAAAAATACACGTTATATTACCGTGACGTCTACTTTTGAGAAACTATTGGAACCTACGCCAACAGAAGCTCCATCGCTAACAGCTACAGAACCTCTTACAGAAAACATCCTTGCAACTACGAGTTATAATGACAAGGACGGAAATTTCTTGGATTCCAGCATAGCGACTTTGCCGCCACTCTATGTGGCATCTGATATGGAAACTCCTCCATTAGAAACTAAAACAGAAACCTTTAGCACCACGCAGACGATGCTAAAAACTCACATTTTGCCAGCAGTTCGTGAAGGGAATCAAACATCCACATACACGCTCATTCAAACGTATTTGATAACGAGAATTGTGACCGCCACAAAAACACTACCCCCAATGGAAGCCTACCACTTCAATCCAAGCAGAACCCTTAACGAATTTAACAGTCATTTGGATGAAGCTGGATCAGAATTGAATCTCGATATTGCGTTCGGTGATGAAGAAAGCGAAAACAGTCTGAGAAAGTCTTTCCAAGGTGACTTGGACCTTGCCAATGTGGGATCCGATTTTAGTCTGTCCGATATAGATAAAGCTAAACTGATGGAAGCTCATCTTCGTGCTAAAAAATTGAAGTCTGCAACACCCAAACCTGAAGTAAACTTGGTACCAACACCGAATCCAGCTCTAAATCCTGATCAACTTCAGCAGCTAGCTCTGCTTAGGTTCCTGAATCCTGCCGCAGCGGTTCCCCAGGGACAAATAATAACCACTTCGAAACCTGTCATTAAACTGGAAACGGTTTATGAATCCCATGTAATTCCTATCTTCAATGGCCAGAGTACCATCCTGACGACCGTTTCAAAGGTTCTTGGAACTGTAACAAGAACCGACTACGAACTAGGAACAAGCACTATAGCTGCCCCGGTGGTTCCCGCTTTACCTACAATCGCGCCTGTCAACCCACTATTCCCACAACAGCAACAACCCCAATTTACAGTAACATCGTCTCCAATAGTTCAAAATACCGTACTGACGCAAACTGACAGTAAGGTCCTGAAGTTGACTTTCGGTGCGAAAACGGCATACACGACAATATTTTCAACAAAGATTGTACCAACGATGGTCACGACTTATATGACAGCATCTGTGCCTGTTCAACCCACGGCAGCATTTCCTGGCTTCTTCCCAGCACCCTACCCGCCATTTCCCTATTTAGGGTAAAGTCAACGCGAGAATGAAGCAATGAATCGCTTCTACAGACTGTATTGTAAATATAAGTGATTCTTAGTGGTGCTGAAAGACATGTAAAGTGTGAAAAACTTTCCCTACATGAAACCAATTAAACCATCAATTGTAAATAAGCATTAGTGTTGTATGTCGCCGTAGTATTTAATGTAATTTCACCTTGTAATATAGCTCATCTTTTGTATATTTACCTCACACAATAAATCATCATTAATACAAAAGGTACAACTTTAGTTTTAATTTTAACTGCAAATAAGTTTACTTCAGAAGAAGAATTTTAAAGTTGCCGACGACTTCAAAAGAAACATAATCATTATCATGTACAATAGTGAAGGTATGTTTTAATATGCTTTCAAATTACGCATAATTTAAATTTTTGTTAAGGATTTTAATTCAAATATTCAAGACTCTGCATACATATACGACGAAATTAATTACGAACTGCAAAGTTAACTGTACGTCAAATATTTGCTTCATCGTTACGCGATTGTAACGTATTCCAAGCTCCATTATAAGCATTTTCTAGAAGCAATTTAATATCTAAGCAAGCAACTGCATTATTTCAAAAGAAATAAAAAAGCAATTCCTTTGAGAAAGAAAATTTAAAAATCTACTCCGTCATCTTTATGAAATCGGAAGTCTTTTAATACTCAGTCGAGATACGTAATAGATAAAAAGTATAAATATCTAGAAAGAACACGAGGGTGCTCTAGAGCAGATATTGAATTTCGGTGGAGTATAAGCTATCATCTACAATAGAATTATTTAAAATGAAGTACACTGGAAACAATCGATTTCATTGAAGCCAATATCAGCACCATTCTAAATAATTTTAAAAACAATTGAGCGCATGATTATCTTTTTTAGATTACGTAATTATCATTTGTTGAAGCTTAATTTATTGCAAAAGTATTTTGGGTAGTGAACTGTCGGTAAAGACAAGATGAGCATTTTTATTGACCTTTTTTCAAAACCAGCTATAAATCGTTCCAGAGCAAAAATCAATAACGCCGTGGATTTCAGGGCGGTTGATTTAGAAAGGATGCAAGAATGACATAAGACAGGATTTATAACCCTCTTGGAAACAATGTATTGCGTTAGATATCAGTGGCGCCTTGTAATTTTCTACAGATCAATTTTAGGGGATCCTGTGGTAAAAATAGAAATGTGTTTAAAACGTTGAACATTATTCTGTACAACTAATTACATAATTTAGAGTTTGTCAATTCGTTTTTCTACGTGTGTTAACGGAAAATATTTATAGCATTCGAATTTCCAAAATACTTCCATGCTGTGGGTGCAAAGTTTAATCTTTCCGTCAATTCATTACATTCAACGAGCGTGAAGGAACAGAAATTAAAGTGGCCGGAGCTAAAATCGATAAAACAATAAGAAAGTTTTCCCGTAAAATTAACCCTGAAAGTTGATACTTTACTGACAAAATCAGGTTACATTCCCAATTTATTTTAATAATGGTTTAACGAGGAAAATCGTTCCTAGTACGAAGTCAGGTCTAAGGAGATGTGACTGGAATTATTGCAGAGCGAGCTGAGACCAACTTCCAAAAGTATTTTCCGCTAATAGCAGTTAGAGCGCGGGACTAGCGCAAGAAAAACTTGTTAGCAGTCTTACAACGTAACTAGAACTGAAAATATTCTGACACTATCACTTTCTGCACAACACAGAGGCAGAAGTTATGTCGTACACTGTGTGTTTGCAAAGTGATGTTCTCTCTATAAAATAAACAGCTGGTACATTGAAACTCTACTTTTGGCAATTCTCGAATGTCTGTTTTAAATAAATGATTAAATTTCCGATAGTTTTCCTTTTATGAACAAAATTTTTACAGTAATTGGTTTCGCCGAGACATATTTTAAAATTTCGTATTTTCTGTAGTTAATTAGAATAAAGACGCATTCCGGCTTGAAATACTTCTGCTGTGACTAGGAAGACGTAGCAGAGGCAACATTAATAAAAGCATCGAATGAAGTCAGTAGTCCAACATATTAGTGAAGGTTTCCGTGGCTAGTAAGTAAACTGATGTTGTCCTGATTTAGATCTAAAGGCTGTCGCCGGTTGAAATTACTTCCTAATGTTTCGCTAGCACGAGTAAGAAGTTTCTTCAGGGGTCCTTCCATCTCCGATGCTGGATCAACATCCAGCCAATGACGACCTTTAGATCCGAATCAGGACGCCATCAGTTCCAGTAGTTGAAATTGGAGAAACAAAAATGGAAAAAGAAACTACGGTAGGTATCGTATTAAACAACCTGGAAACACAATATATACCCGAGATAAAACTGTTCAGTATCTCAGAGTCCCTGAAAGTGAGACTCGAGTCTCCGTCTCTCATCGAGTCTCTCTGGTGTCGCTGAGAGAGACTGTCGAGAGACTGTCAAAAAAACTATTAGCGTCTCTGAACGAGAGACTCGAGTAGCTCATAGAAAAATCCTCATTTCGTATCCAGTCTCTAAACGAGATACTCGAATCTCTGAACGAGAGACTCGAATCTCTGAACGAGAGACTCGAATCTCTGAACGAGAGACTCGAATCTCTCAATAAGTGGTGTCTCGATAGACATGGTTAAAATTTTCTAAGTTCAACATCTAAACGAGATACTCGAATCTCTGAACGAGAGACTCGAATCTCTGAACGAGAAACTCGAATCTCTCAATAAGTGATGTCTCGATAGACATGGTTAAAATTTTCTAAGTTCAACATATTTCAGAGATCCCAGTCTTTCTACGAGAGACTCGAATTTCTCAATCTTTCAGTTTTATTCATTCAGTCTCTCTGTGAGAGACTCGAACCTCTGAATTAACAATTTTATCGTATGAGTCCCTCGTATAGAGACTGTGATAGGTTCATAAAAACACCTAGGCAATAACTGAGAGACTGTGAGAGACGCTGAAAGACTGAGAGACTGGAGAGAGACTCTGAAAATTTTTGTCTAGGGTATCTGATGATATTTATGGTTAACACAGTAGACAATTTATGATCTGCTTGTGTAGTATGTCTTATCTACTTCCTTCAATAAGTTACTCAGATTTTACAAAATCACACATCAGAAGCTTTTCTCTATGGTCTAATATCCATAAATATTTCAGCATCAATTATTTTAGCACTATAAAAATGCCCGTTAAAATATTACTACTGACCTGTTTATCAAGACTGATTTAGCTATATATATACCTACGCATGTATATAGGTACCTTTCGGTTAACGATCGGTAAAACTTTTGCCGATCATACTCTTCGTTTTGTTTCTCTACCTATACCACTAAGCCATAGCGTCAACGCTATTACTATTAAAGTCTGTTTTTTACTGCAGAGAGGTTGTAAAACTTGGAGCTTTTTAACGGAGTTGAGCTCTTTATTGCAACATAAAAGTCGACGGATGTATAGGTGAAAAAGGTTGTGCGCTGGCTTTAAAACGCGTCAGATCCATAATAATATAGGCTAGTATCACTAAAAAGTAAGTTTCTGATACATATTACACCCTTGCCTCGAAAATAACAGCAACAGATTGCAAAAAATGTGAATGAACCGTATCATCGACAGCACATTTTGAGAGGGCAGAAAAATAGAAGGATTAATTTTGATTAAATATGTTGACTGTATGGAAATCAATAATAAATAGGCGAGACAGTAGGTTGGTTGAGTTAGGTTAGAACACCTTTTCATGAAGGGCTAGTTAGAGACATATTGAAATCAGAAACAGGAGTAAAGAGGAGTAGAGGTAGACCTAGATTGGATTACTGTTCACAAATAGTTAAGGATGTGGGAGGTTCTAGTTTTAGGGAAATGCGAAGATTAGCTCAGGATAGGAATGGAACAA